GAGCTTGTGCTACGTGTTGTTGCGATGTGTAGTTACATTTTTTGAGAGGTGCGCGTCAGCGCATAAGCCGTGCCGTAACATACACATGCGCTTGATGCAGTAGTATAAATCAGCCTTATGTGCATCTACACACCTTGCGATTTTGTGGGCTCTTAGAATGTTAAATTAGACCCCTAAAAAGTATATCCAAAAACAAATTGTTTGTAGCCCTGCTTAAAAATCCAGCTTAAACCAGCCTAGGCTGGTTTAAGCTGGATTTTTCAGCAGGGAGATCACTTTCTGTTCTAATAATAACACCTTTTCTTATAATGTTACCCTGTTTGTGTGCAGTGGCAGTAGCTGTATGCGAGATCTTCTAAGGGATGTGTATGTGTGTGTTGCAGCTGTGTGGTGGATGAGTTGGATTTCTCAGGGATGGAGCTGGATGAAGCTTTGCGGAAATTTCAGGCTCAAATCCGAGTTCAGGGGGAAGCACAGAAGGTGGAGCGTTTGATCGAGGCTTTCAGGTGCTGTGAGATCACAGAACACACATCCCCAGACACATACTGAACCACCTTTGAAGATTAAATTAGAAGCGTTTTTAACTTCTCAAACACATTTCTCAAGTGTCCCAATACTGCTCACCAAACATTAAGGAACTTTGCTGCTAAACCATGACTGCAGCAGATATGGTATATGATGTGATATCATGCTGCACCTAAAAATAGTCCCCAGCTAAATATCATTGCGCCTGCTGTAGCCATGGTTTTGCAGCAAAGTTCCATGATTGTAATGCAAGAGAGCATAGATGCTAGTTATATCAGCCTAGAAAATAGCAACTTTTCATTTAATCTTAATACAAGATGTAACTACAGAAGTGTCAAACTTTAAATAGGAAAATTATCAATACTCTTTGTTGAATTTGTTGAGTGAGATGCTAATGGTCTAATCTGATTCAATGATTTATGCTAAGCTAAAAGTGTTCCCGCCAGACCCTGAGATTGGCTGAATGGATTCAAAATGATAAAACTCAGGTGTTCAACTCTGGGGAGCTGTAAAATAAGCATGTTTCCAAAAAAAAGCGGAGAGTTCCTTTATTATAAACGCACCATATAAAAGTTGTCGTCTTATTGGTAATATACAGCGAGAAAAACTAGAGTAGCCATTGTGAGGCAAGTAACATAATAAAGTAAGCTGCAGTTTCATCGAAAGAATTAGCATACTTGAGTCCTTCTGATTTAAACCGTCCAAGTGGTCTTTGGTCTTATGAGGAGTGTTTGATGAAGACACATGCAAATGTAGTGGTTGCGTTGTGACTGAGTTTTACTATAGTGTTTTAATCTGGTTGATCAGGGTTAGAATGAGCTGTGGTGTGTTTCTTTGTTTAGCCAGCGCTACTGCATCTGTAACCATGACGTGGTCCGCCAGTTCAGAAACCCCGACACCATCTTCATCTTGGCCTTCGCCATTATCCTTCTCAACACAGACATGTACAGCCCCAATGTCAAGATCGAACGCAAGATGAAGCTGGAGGACTTCGTCAAGAATCTACGAGGTTTGTTTTTTTAGTTGTACATTTTATCAATCAAGGATGTGTTCTGATGATGAGTATTATAGCATTTTAAATGAGATTTTATTTCAATAACATTTAGTTTTTTTATATTTTTAGTTTTAGTGTTAGTATTAATAGTTTATCGTAACATACACAGCGTTGAGCAGAGCAAAGCATTGCAAAAAATATGTTCTTACTTTGAGTTTTTGTCTTGTTTCTAGTTCAAATATCTAAAAATTCTTGAATCAAGAAACATTTTTTAGACAAGCAAAAAATATTGTCTTGTTTTCAGAAATAGTATGTCAAATGAAGTGGGAACAAATGTGGAAGCAAGATCTGGGTATTGAGATTTCTGAGGACCAACAGAAGGACACGCAGATTATTTTGCTTGTTTTAAGGAAAAACTTACATTATCTTGACATATTATTTCTAAAAATAAAGCAATATTTTTTTCTTCTGTAGAAAATAATTCTTGATTTAAGAATTTTTTAGATATTTGGACTACTTTTTGGGGAGTTTAATTTGCACAGCTCACATTAACTCTGGTGCAAATCTCTTAGAAATACAATATATATTAGGGCTGTCAAATGATTAAACATATTAACGTAATTAATCACACTTTTTTTTTTTATTAATCATGATTAATCACGAAACGTTGTATTTATTACAGAAATAAAAACACAGGCAAGTAAGTGCCATTTGAATTTCAAAACAATTGATGCCAATAACAAACAAAAATGATTTCCATGTTGGATTCTAAGTGATCTACAAAAACACACAAACACACACACACAGACAACGCACGCATTACAGCGGACCCGGTGAGTGAGAGATCCCTTCAGATTCATCAACAGGCACGATTGGGTTCATCAAATTTGCTAAAAAAAGCATTCTAAAGTGTGGCTGTATTTTACAAGCAAGGATTCTGACACAGCAATGTGAAGCAAACGCTTTATAAAAGTTGCGTGTCGGGGGAAACACGTCAAACTTATGAAATGTAAGGGTTTATGGAAGCAGCTTAAAGGCAGAGAATAGGGCTGTCTTTGACAGCTTGCGACTCCGTCTGCCACTTTCACTACAGTACATTTACATGGACACCAATACACCACTTTTATGATTAAAATAATACTGATTAAGAGTCTACCATGTAAGCAGCGATTTTTGATTAGCTTAAAGGATCACACGAGTCCCGAAATGCAGAGGTTTTTCTTTCCATTCGCCATGAGGTAACAAATTCCCACAAAACATCCTGAATGAAAATATGCTGAATGAGAGTGAACTGCTGAACTGCAGTTAAAGTCTAAAGATTAAAAATGAAACACTCGAAATTGCATGAAAATCTGGAGGAAATGTCGGATAGCCTGCTGATGCCACATTAATTGTTTTATTAATGTGGAAAACGGTAATCACACCGCCCTTAACCCGAAAGTGCCCGGTTCGCAGATGAAAGTAAGGACCATGAAGGAGGGGGTGGGTGTAGCGGATAAGAGTGAAGACCGGGGGGCTTGCTCACTATTCTGCTGCCCAAGGCGGCCACCTAGGTTGCCTCTATGCACACGCCGTCCCTGAACACACGTCAGCCACAACAGGAAACAAAAAAAAAACTGCAACTGCGTTATTTGCGTTCATTTTTTTTTTACGCGTTAAATATTTAAAATTAATAGCGTACGTTAACGTTTTTTTGACAGCCCTAATATATATATATATATATATATATATATATATATATATATATATATATATTATACAACATTATATATTTATAATTGTTTAATAATTTTAAAAAGTATAATAATTGTTCGAACAAACACTGAATCCAAACCCGTACAAATGTAATGAATACATGAAAGCATATGAATAATTCAGACAGTCTTCTTCATATTAAAGATGATACTGTATAGACTAGTTGATTTTATGGCGAATGTTGGAACATGTTTTATGTTTAAATAAAAATAAGATGCTAAATACACATCATTTGCTTGTGAACGCGCCATCTACTGTTATTTCTCTAAACAGCAGCAGGTCAGATTTCAGATGAAGACTATTATTACTAATAAATGCTATTCAGTGACTGTTGTTATTTTTGTTTATATTTGTTGTGATGTTTTCCCATTTATTTCAGTTAACACAAATTGTTTTCTGACCAATAGTTTTAGTTTTTGTCTACTAAAAAAACCTCAGTTCAGGTTCATGAACTTCATACAGGATCACAGAAGAATGCAAATAAATGAGGTTTGCCAGATGCCTGTGTATTCTGCTGAAATAGCAGTGTTGTGCTTGCGTTTTGAAAGGGGTTGATGATGGAGAGGACATCCCACGGGAGATGCTGGTTGGCATTTATGAGAGGATCCAAAAGAAAGAGCTCAAAACCAATGAGGACCACGTGTCTCAGGTGCAGAAGGTGGAGAAACTCATTGTGGGCAAGAAGCAGGTAAGTTCAATTGACAGCTATCATGAAGCCGGAGTCTATGGAAATGTACAAAATTGACTAAAATTACTTTTATTTTTTATTATTACATTTGATTTTTGTACTTTTAAATGTGTCTTTAATTTTTTATACTATCATTCTTAAAGTTTTTATTGTAATCAGAATCTCCAGATAGAATTGTCAAGATTGTTGACCGCTATCCATATACAGTAATAAAATAAGATACTGTAATAACAATAAAACAATCATAGTTTAAAAGGGTTGTATCATTCCTCAACAATTCTGATGCAACAAGTTTGGGTAACAAGTGTCCTTGTTACACATGTTCCATGTACTTACTATGGTAACTTCAATTAATTAGGCATAACTACACACAAAAAACCCTATACCCAACCAGCTCACGAGCTCAAGCATATTGTTAGTCCATTCAATTTTCCTTCAGCTTAGTCCCTTATTTATCAGGGGTCGAATGAACCGCCAGCTATTCTGGTCTTGTGCAGCAGATGCCCTTTTAGCCTTTCTCATTCACACACACTCCTACACTATGGCCAATTTAGTTCATCTAATTCACCAATACCGTATATCTATGGACTGTGGGGGAAACTGGAGCATCCAGAGGAGAATCTGCGAACTCCACACAGAAATGCCAACTGGCCTAGCCGAGGCTCTGATTTTGCTAACCACTGAGCCACCGTGCCGCCCCTTTGTTACTGTAAAAAGGACACCCTAAAATAAAGTGTAACCCCATTTGAAATTATGAGAAGAGAGTTGCGTTATTCACCCATTTATCTCTTGCTTTACAGATGGGATCCCTTCACCATGGTCTTGGCTGTGTAAGTACACTTCATCATGTATATGAAACAGTCCAATCTTACCAACTACACATTCACCTCATATTTTTTCCTACATTTTTAAGAACCGTGAATTGAATGCCTCCAGTAGAGGGCGCTGTGTACATTTTTGACAATCTCAAATACGTTACTCAGGCATGTTTTGTACATTTTGTACCGTTGTCGTTGCGTACATTTCTGTGAATCTCGGTGTCCTTTTTACACATGAATGTAACAGAAGTCTGTCGGCTTGTCATGCATATATAGGTCCCACCTTACATTAAGTGGCCTTAACTAATATGTACTTACATAGGAATTAATTGTTTGTTACAATGTACTTATTGTGTAAATACATGTATTTACTGTGTACTTATGCTTGATTAAATTCATGTATGTAGTTACATCTGTAATTAACTTTTGTAATTAAATTGTAAATACACTGTTGACCATCCCTTACACCTTAACCCACCCTCAAACCTACCCATGCCACCAAACCTGTCCATAACCCAACCTCTACCCCAACTCAAAAGCACCACAAGTGTTCTCAAATACATTATAAACCAAGTAAGTACATTGTATTTATTTTTTGATGTAAGTACATAGTAGTTAAGGACACTTAATATAAAGTGGGACCCATATAAATTAAGGTACAGAAATAAGAACACTAACCAGTAGTGTTTTATTGAGTGAAAACAAGTAACGGTAGAGTGAAAACAAGTTGTCGGCACCGTCCAACCACCCCATAGCATTTGTTTTACACAGAAACTGCAGACACATGTAGCCCTGGGCACACATTTCACAGTTCTCAAAAATGTAGCCCTGGGCACATATTCCCAATGAACCTGTGCTGAAATGTTCACTATTAGTAAAACATTTTGATTTGACCACTCTGGCCACATACAGATTTGTCTGCATGAAAAGATGTGCACTTGAGAATGAAAAGGGTGTTCTTCCACAATCATGGTTTCCTCAAATATAAGATGTAGAAGTTGTTTCTTTTTTTTTAAATTTGTAAAATCTTAGGGCCCTTTCATACACCGGGCGCAATGCAGCGCAAGACGCGACACAATTGTTGTTTGCTAGTTTCAGTTTGGCTGTTTAAACGCTGTTTAAATAGCAAATGCATTCGTGCTCATATGTGTGCCCACTCACAAGTTGTCACTGAATGAATGTGTGAATATAAGGCCAACTTTACCTTAATAACTTACACTTTTACGTTTTATTCTGAGCATTCAGTGTCTGCAGTTTAATTCACCATATGTAACTGTTTTTGCTGAAATCATTGCTGCAATCAAAAATAAGTGATGTGTATTATTCAGCATAGCGTGAACTTACCTGATATAACATGAGAACTGCAGAGTGCAGCATTTCTAATTAGGTCGTCACTTCATTCAGCTCCCTTTTAGCCAAAGACGTCTGCAGTTGGCATTAAAGCAGTGTGGTGTACGGTAAAAGTTTTCAGTTTTTGGAATTTGGCATTCTACCGCACAACATGTTTGCTATTGCAGCCGATCTCTTTTTGCAACCGGGGACCCGTGTGACATCATGTGTGATGTAGGTTTGTAATTCGTTTATTCTACAGAAATATCTATAGTGAGAGAGGGAGTGTTTTGAATTGCTTAGGGCCCCCAAATCACTAAGGCCCAATGACAATTCTACCTCTTAGCCCGTCCCCTTCCCCCTACCCATTCGTTTTGCGCTTTCACGTAAAGGGGTAATGGTGTCCCAATTCTCTTTAGCTTGAAGGTGTAGGGCTAAGGGAAGGGCTAGGTAGCCCTTGAAACAGAGATTTTCGAGGGCCACACTCGAAACCAAGGGGTATATGAACATTTCCCAGAATACTACACCATCTACGATGGCAGCATGGCTGCACACGAAAGTCAGGAGATGCACAAATTAGTATTTTTTGTCATTATTACGAAGTTTTACAACAAACAATTAAATGTTTTAATATATTCATAACCGCATTTGTGTTTTACCATCATGCTTATTAAAAAAAACGCTAAATTATCCCTAAAAACAACTCCTGTGCAGCTGTCCTACAACACTCAATGACACTCGAATACCCTGTCAGACATTTCTAGTGGCGTTTTACAGTGTCTATTATGACGTTAATGTTGCTTTCTTGTGTTTACATAAATGAATATGGCCACTGTGTAAATGCAGAGTAGAGTTATGACCTTATCGCCACATTATATCAATATGACAACATGATATATGTCTTCAGTGATTTCCTGAAGATAAATACCAAAAATAACGCAACCGCAATAACTACAGCAGTCGCGATCGTCTAATCTCATATGAAGCAAGAGATCACAATGACATATGCTGACGTGTGCGGGTATTGTAATGGTGTCCCTTGTCTTAGGGATAAATTTTAAAGCCCATCCCCTTCGCATTCTGTTTCAAGGGCCATGGGCAGGGTCAGACGGAATCTGCGGACGTTTTTTGCTATTTCTGCGGAGAATTTTGGTAAAAATCTGCGGATTTCTGCTGAATTATTTTGGGAGTATCCTAACTTACACTTTAATATATTAAATAAAAAGTAACAAATTACTGAATAAAAACTGAATAAATTCCGATTTACACATTTACTCAAGTAAATAAACAGAATTTATAATGGACTAAAAAACTGCAGAAATCTGCGGAATTCTGCGGAAAATCTGCGGAATTCTGTGCGCGCAGATTCCGTGTGGGCCTAGCGGGGAGAGGGTACAAAAATAGAATTGGGATTGGGCCTAAGTCCGGCCCTGTCTGTACAGTATAAACATCATTACGACAATGGAAAGTGCACATAAAAGTATCTGTATAAGTGTGTGTGCGTGTGTGTCCACACGGATAATAAAACTGAACTGAACTATGGAGAGTAGCCAACGATTATCCTAAAAATAATAAGCAGACTTATGAAAACACAATCTGAATGAGATATTGCATGATAAGATTAGAAAAAAATGTCAGTTCAGTATATAGTCCAGGAAACAGACATCAGTAAAGCCCTCAGACAAACAAACATGTTTATGTGTGTTACAGGTGCTGTCTCAGGCTCACCGCAGGCTCGTGTGCTACTGCAGACTGTTTGAGGTCCCAGATCCAAACAGGCTGCAAAAACTCGGGCAGCACCAGCGGGAAATCTTCCTGTTTAATGATCTTCTAGTGGTAAGAGATCACAAAAGATACACAACACATGACTTTCAATATAATAACGAGTACTGAAGATACAGTGTAGTACTTGTGTTGATGTACAGATATCTATAAATGACCACTGGGATTGTTGCATGTTTGTGACAGGTTACCAAGATCTTCCAAAAGAAGAAAAACTCAGTGACGTATAGTTTCCGGCAATCTTTCTCTCTGTACGGGATGCAAGTGATGCTCTTCGAGAACCAATGTAAGAAATGTGACATTTATTAAGTGGAGTTTATTTAAAAACTAATTTTGAGAGGATCACGTGATTATGAATGAACACGGCTGGTTCTGCATTAGCTACGGATGATCTACCAATCAGGCGATCCCTAACCCATTATAAAGAGCCGGGGTTTCTTCCACCCCTACTTCTCCACCTTTCCCTTCATAGGGCGGCGCGGTGGCCCAGTGGTTAGCACTGTTGTCTCACAGCAAGAACGTCACCGGTTCTAGTCCTTTACCAGGCTGGCTGTTGTTTCTGTGTGTAGTTTGCATGTTCTTTCCATGCTCGTGTTGGTTTTCCCCGGGTCCTCCGGTTTCCTCCCATATTCCAAAAATGTATCAATCTAAATTTAGCACTACAGTCAAACTCTCATCCTGCAGCATATCTCTTCATAGCATTCATTTTAGTCATCAGCTCTTATCAAAGGGGGAGTTGTCGAGATCTACCTGAGCTCAAAGCTCCCCTCTCGCCCTGCAAACGGGAGGGAGCCCAGGGTTCAAGCACCTTTTGAGCTCAGGGCTCTTTCCCGGGACAGCATGCCAAACTTGCTCATAATCAGTCATCAGCTAAGTGTGAACTCTTGAAAAACCAACAAACAAATCTATTCTTACAATAATAAACCAGGCATCTTTAAAGGGACAGTTCACCCAAAACTGTTTTTTTTTGTCATTTACTCATCCTTGACTTGTTCCAAACCTGAGTTTAATTCACAAAGAAGATATTTTGAAGAAAGCTGAAAACCTGTAACCATTGACTTCCATAGTATTTGTTTTTTTCTACTATGGAGGTCAACGATACAAGTTTTCAGCTTCAAAAAGATAAAGAAACCACTTGAAGGTAAGGAAATACTGAGTGTTTTTTTTTTTCTGGGGGGGTGAGTGGTTGTACTATCCCCTTAAAGTTCCATCATTGATTCTGTTAGTGATGGGTTTATGTAATTTAATATAACTATTTATTGACATTTTGTTTTCTGAATCAAAATGACATTTTATTTCTGCTCTTCATGGCACTCTGAAGACTTGTTCACATCAAGAATGATAACTATGATGATAAATATATTAGACTAGATAACAATTGGCTTAAACAAGTGCAAACCCTTTTGTGGTCTTAATAAAATGTGTATTATTTGATTTCCATTCAATGATTAATTTTCTTTTCGGCTTAGTCCCTTTATTAATCAGGGGTCGCCACAACATAATGAACCGCCAACTTATCCAGCATTTGTTTTACGCAGCGGATGCCCTTCCAGCCGCAACCCATCACTGGGAAACCCATACACGCTCATACACTACGGACAATTTAGCTTACCCAATTCACCTGTACCGCATGTCTTTGGACTGTGGGGGAAACCGGAGCACCCGGAGGAAACCCACACAAATGCAGGGAGAACATGCAAACTCCACACAGAAACGCCAACTGAGCCGAGGCTCGAACCAGCGAACTTTTTGCTGTGAGGCGACAGCACTACCTACTGCGTCACTGCGTCGCCGCTATTTGATTTACAAAGAGTAATTATTTACATGACGTGATGAATTAACAATGAAAAGGCATGGATGCAGCTTAACTTAGTCCATGTGCACAGTATAGAATGGAATTATGCAATGTGATACTAAGAATTGCTGGACTTTATTCAGTGCCCAAAACATATCACACACACACACACACAAGTTTGTGACCCAATTTGCATTGCTCTTGGTGGTTTGCGTTGGTCTTAATGATTTGGATGAATGTGGGTTTTTAATCACTGTCTGGAGAATTAAACACAGAACTTTACATTCTCATCAGTGCTTTTATGGCATTTGTCTTGTTTACCCTGCTGAAAAATCCAGCTTAAACCAGCCTAGGCTGGTTGGCTGGTTTTAGCTGGTTGACCAGCCTGGTTTTAGAGGGGTTTTGGCCATTTCCAGGCTGGTTTCCAGCCATTTCCAGCCTGGTCTTAGCTGGTCAGGCTGGAAAATGACCATCCAAATCCAGGTTTAAGCTGGATATAGCTGGTTTTGGCTGGACTCCCAGCTTGGCTAGGGTGGTCAAGCTGGTTTTAGCTGGTCATCTCCCAGCCTGACCAGCTAAGACCAGGCTGGAAATGGTTGGAAACCAGCCTGGAAGTGGCCAAAACCCCTCTAAAACCAGCCTGGTCGACCAGCTAAAAGCAGCCAACCAGCCTAGGCTGGTTTAAACTGGATTTTTCAGCAGGGTAGTTTGTCTGACCATGAATTTTTAACCATCATTTTTCATATAAAAGAGAAGCAAATCATGTCAAGTAACCTTTTCTAGTTTTTGTAGTGTAATTTCTATAGCACTTTATGCTATGTAGATTGGGTCAAACCTTATATACGTGGAACAGCCATTGCATGACGCTTGATGTACCCCATGAATCCAGATAAAGATACCATTTATTAATGTTTGTTATGATGTTCTCTCTCTTTTTTTCAGTTTATCCAAATGGCATCCGGCTGACGTCAGCCATTCCAGGTGCAGACTTCAAAGTCCTGATCAATTTCAATGCTCCCAACATTCAGGACCGCAAGAGATTCATCAGCGACCTGCGAGAATCCATCGCTGAGGTCCAGGAAATGGAGAAGTACCGAATAGAGTGTAAACAGACCTTTATTCTTCCTCATCCATCATTAGTCATTAGTAAACCATATTTTATTAGAAACGCGATTAGAAAGTACACTGTAAATTTCTGTATTTTGTTTTCATGTATTAGTCATTTTTCATGTTTTTTGCCCGTTTATTCATGCCTTTGAGTTGCATTATGGGATCTTGATCTTTCTACTCACAGCTGTTAACCTTGAAAAGTTGAAAAAGGTGACTTTTAAACATTTTTAATAGTCTAAACTGATCAATTGTCTGGGTTGGTGTTGTAGATTATGCTACATAGACCTTGTAACAGATTGTCAGTAAACATTTTCTGTAATTTTTTAGACTTATTTCTCTACATATTATTTCTCACACATTATATTACTTTAAACTACTAAAATGTCAATAAAAGTCCCTTTGTTAAACTGTAGAGTTGAATTTTCAACATCAAATATCAAAAGTTCAGAGATCAACGTCCCATAATGCAATTCACATATAAACTGACAAAACAAAATAGGGAAACAGCTAATTCACAGATTTTTGACACTGTACGCTGACACGTTGAGAGTTGTGTTTTAACAAACATGGTCATATTAGGATATGATTGTCAACATTTGCATTGTTACTCATTTTATCAACATAGGCTCATTCTGAAAAGCAGAGCCCTAAATACTTTTCTGCAGATCTCAAATTACGTAGCAAGAAGTATGTATGGCTGCATTTCATTTGTAAAGGGTCACGAAACACCTAAACACGTGTTTTGAGCTGTTGACAGTCGTATATGTGTCCCACACTGCTAAAAACACTATTAGGACACCCATATTTCACAAAAAAAGTGTATTTTGGTTGTTTTTGCGTTATTTCAAGTAAATTCGTACTTCCGGTTTGAAACGAATTTTTGAAACTGCGTCACGACCATGACATAATAGCGTTGTATTCCAGCATGTAGACTGGGCGTCTGTGCCAGAGTGTGTCTTATTTCGTCTTACAGTGTGATGCATTAATGCATGAGTAAAGCTTGGTTCAAACCAATCTGCGCACTCTATTGTGCAACTTCATTAATATTCATTACTGTCACAGTGTTTAGACGAAAGAGACGCCACGTTGTGTTGGCAAAACAAGCGTGAAGTGTTGCTTTTATTGTTTGCTGCAGTTAAGTTTTGTGAGAGCGCAGCTGGAGTCACGTGTGGATTAACAGTGTACGCGACGCTCGACAACAATAACTTACGTGTCTAAGGAGGATTATTGTTTACCTGAGAGCTGTTCTCATCTGCAAACGCTGAGATCCGGATTCGCTTGTAGTCTCCTCTTAATAAAGACGCGGCTCTAGTTGCTGGTGATTGTCCTGTCTCTACAGATTTGGTAAGTGAGCGACCAGCGCTCTTTGTTTATTCAGTTTGTTCGTATCGAACAAACTATTACACCGAGTGTAAACATGTTAATACCACAACCAAACCTCATGTAGGATTTTCACCGCATTTTGTGACCGGAATAACACACGCGGCTTTCTGACACTACCTGCCGTGTGCATCTAAGTTTCCGGGAAATGCTGAGGGTTTTTTTTTCTCTCATTCGCCGTGCGGTATCAAACATTGCATGGAAAATACACGCTTAGAGCAGCTCCTCGAATCAAATATCTCGTTTGTCGCGAGGGACATGAATGAATTCCCTGAATGAAAGAGCCAAACTGCAGTTAAAATCCACCATTTAGTAATTTGGCAAATAATTCGACTACAGATGTCCATGTAAACACCATCACTTTCTCCCCTGTGTGTGTGTGTGTTTGTGTGTTTTGCCTCTGAAACTCAGCGCGTGGTCAAATAGACACTCCCACACCTTCCCTCTTTAGTTCCTCCGACACTCCCCCCTAAACAGAGCTGGACACGCCCACTTTTCTTACTTTTTCCAAAGTAGAGGTGTGAAAACACCCTGCTGTAACTAAGGGGTTTCATGCCCCTTTAAAATGGACGCTACAGGTTGGTGTGATGCCGTTCCTTTTCGCGCTTACCAGCTGACCGCTTACCTCCGTATGGTTCGCTGTTACCAGTTTGCTCAGTAGCTCGCCATGTACGTCAGCGGACTTGAGATGCAAAGAAGAGTTTACCACGATGATTGGGTTCGAGTTTGGCGAAGAAAGGTTCCAGAAAGTAAGACAAAAACAGAAGCCAAAAACGAAAATAAACTAGTAAAAAACAGGGTAAAAATGTGGTAAAATTTAAAATGGTGGTAAAAATCCGACAAGGGCTTTTCTTTTTCTGGATTGCTTTTTAAAACTGTCTGTAGGGTTTAGAGAAGAGGGTGGGCGGGTCAATCGGTGCTTTTGAAAACACTATTGATTGGGTTTAGGAAAGGAGGATGTTGGGTCAGTCGCTCAGTCAGTCAGTTCACAGCAGCCTCTGGTGTATTTACGCGTGAACAGCAGGCATGAATGGCACTCGCCAGAGAAATTTGAGATCTCAAAAAGTGTACACAGCGGTCTCTGGTGGATTTGGGAAAACAAAAACGTCAAAAAACGTCGCTTCTGGAATGTATTTGGCGCTCTCCAGAAATGTATATAGGGGTGCGTTTTCAGAATGAGCCTGTATTGTATTGTACAGTTAAAATAATTCATTAAAGTTTTGTTTTGTGCATTTCAAGTTAATTTTAGCACTTTTGCTGAACATACTTTTGCGTTTTTGTCTTACACTAAATCTGTGCAATTTGTAAACTAATATTTTTATGCCTTTCAGTAGATGTATCATGCGTGACCTACTGTAGTTTTTTTTTTAATCGGACAAGTGGTTTTAATTGAAAATGCAAGTTAAGAAGTTTTTTTTTTCATTGTTTTTAGGTTTAAAAACTCATATTCAAAATCATTCTGCTAATATTAGCAAAAAATTTTGTTAATTTTGTTAGATACAAAATCATAAGGTTTTGATTTCATTTGTACTTTAATAGGGGAGTGGTTCCATGTTTAGGAAATGTTTGCTGACTGTGTGTGTGTTTGCATGCTTGTAGCCGAGCTGGAGAAACAGAAAGGAGTGGTCCGGCCCAGTATGTCTCAGAGCATGTCTGGCCTGAAGAAAGAGACGGGGAACGGCAGCATGGGCCGCACTAGTCTGGACGACTCTTACGCCATGGGGGAAGGACTGAAGCGCAGTGCACTCAGCAGCTCATTACGGGACCTTTCTGAAGCAGGTGAGTTGGGTCATTCTGTTCCGCTGATGTCCAGATTTAACAAAAAATGAACTGTTGTTTGTTTGATTCCCTATGTAAAAAGACATTGAGGATTAGCAGGTTATCTGCATGCAGCAGGGTTTGCAGTTTGTTTTCATAGAGCAAAGAAAAACTTGGAATGTGCTGTAGATGTTTGGCTGTGCTGTGAATAGGTTGATAGGAATCCATTGTTTGTTTTTTTTCTTCAAATGTAGACTTTAAAATAGCAGATGTAGTGCTATTTCTCTCTTTGTATGTTGGTGCACTGCTGTTGAATAGACTGGTAAGTCATTGCTATAAAGCTAAAGGGTGTTAAAGTTACATTAAATAAGTTTGCTTTATGCAATACCTGGTAGGCACACAACATCATAAGGCGTTAATAATACTATGCTAATAGACCTTTTTCTTGGAACGCAAAATTACCCATTATGCTTTGCGTGTATGCGCAAGGAGAACGCGAAGAACTTCCGGTCGGCAGCTGATGCGTGTAAACAGTCAAATTTGGACAGCTTTGAAATGATAGTTTTAATCTATTTTACCTGCTTTTATCCTCTTTGAACTAATACTGTTGTCCATCAGCACCATCTCCTGGACTGATCATTTAAGGAAATGCGATCTAATAGGATGGAAAACAGCTGCTGTGAGGCGTTTTCCCCTCGTTGTCAGACGGCATCTTCTGCAGTTTAAATGAAGCCTCGTCATCGCTAAAGTCAACATTTTCTCTTTATTTCAAATATATAACCAGCGCAAACAAATGTAATTCACCAAAATGTTTGACACACACACGTAGCCTGTACTGTGCCACTGACACACTGATTTAAGAACTGTGACAAAGTGAAAATATAGACTAGTTTCATTTCAAAATGACAGAAAAACACAAACCGTGGTAAAAACAACACACGAAATAAAACACAAACGGCTCGCGATTAGAATCAACAGCAAATCAGCCAGCAGAGGATCAATAACAGACTTTTATTGGTCATTTTTTGCAACCTCCATGCAGCAGCCATGAAAAAGGTCTATAGATTTAGGTCATGACGTCAGGTAACCAAAATTCAACGTCTAGCCAGTTTCTAAGGACAACGTTTTTTTGACGTCCAATAACGAAGTCAAATAGCGTTGATAATTGGTTGATTTTAGGTTGTGTTGGCTAGTGACCGAAATCCAAAGTCTGATTGATGTCATAGTGGTAACGTCTACACACTGTCACAGTTTAACATAATTAGACGTTGATATTTGGTTGATTTTAGGTTGGAACTTGGACATTGACGTCAGTTTGACGTTGGTTCTGACACCAACACGATTTTCAAAAATCTAAATCCATTGTCCCCATAGTGTAAGGGCATGTTGGAGTACAATGTCAATATGATGTCATGTTGATAGCTTAGGTTACCTGCAGGGTAACCTAAAGCCTGGTTTATACTTCTGCGTCAAGTGATATGCGTGAATCAAGGCGCATGCAAGTATACTTCTGCGTATACTTCTGCGTGCTGTTTGTGTTTCTCTGTAAAAACACTTCCGAAACGATATGTTCCACTGTGTCGAGTTTCTTCGCTGGTGTTTTTTTTTTTTTCTGAGCGCTACTTTAATGTACAAATGGCTTAAACTCACTCATTTTGAGGCTGGAATCGGCAGACGTGCAACAACTTTAACGATAAGGTAAGCACAAAACAACAGTCTTCATCCGGAGCTCCTTCACGGGACTCCACACTTGTAAACACTCGCTGAACCTTCGTCAGCGATACCAAGCCGTACAATCACAGAGCTTGTGCTACATGTCGACATGTAGTTGCATTTTTTTTGAGAGGTGCGCGTTAGCGTCGCCGACAGCCATGGTGATGGTTATGCGTCCACGTGTAGGCTGCGCCGTAGCATATGCGTGCGCTTGACCAGGAAATATAAATCAGCCTTAACTTTTAACTGTTAAGTTGATTTAGCGTAATTTTTATAAATATGCACATTATGTTTTTTACTTAACTAATTGGTTTAAAAGCAACAGGTTTACTTACTTATTTTAAGTAAAGTCAATGAATCATTTATACAGTGCAGAGAGATCAGAAAGTCTTGGCTTTCTATGTGCTCACATACGTTTTCTGGTCCTCATAGTGAGTAGTTATTCCAGGTGTGATGTACATCTCTAATCTATACTACTGCATGTCTCGGTCAGGCAAGCATGGGTGCCGCACCAGTGCAGGATCTCTAGACAGCAGTATTGAAGTAAGTAGGCAGTGGGGGGTGTTTAGATGATAACATGCATTTTGCATAACATTTATTTGCAACTTCATGAGTTAAACAGTTCTTTTTTTTTTTACTCTTATGAACGTATTGACGATTAACCCGCCTGCCTGCTTACGTGCATGCATGAACTGCTGCATACTGAAACTTGTGCAGGTGGACCTATTGTACACCTATTTTTAAAGTCCGCGTGAACAGGAAGTTGCTGAGACTTATTTAAGTATATGGATGTATATGGATCTCCTGTTGAATCGGAATATTGAATAGGACGCAGGGCTTTCTTTTTGTTCACCATGTCCTCGTAGCAAACTCATGTAAGTGGGACGTGGCAAAGTATATTGTGGTTCTGCCACTCCAAACGCAGAAGTGATAAACCTTAATCCAGACTTTGATCATCCGTGAGAATCCAGCACTTGACCTGTATATATCACCTTGCCATTGACTGACCCACAGACTTCCCTAAACCCAACCAATCGTGTTTTCAGAAGCAAATGAGAAAAGAAAAGTGCATTGTAGCCGTTATTTTACCATTATTTCACTTTGCTTTTTTAACTGGTTTCTGTCCCAAGTACAACACCATACCAGATGAGCTACCAAGCAAACTGACCGGCAGATCACAGATGTGTAGTTGTCCTTGTGGTATTTATTTGGTGTTGTGTCAAAGAACCACACAAAAAAAGATTATTCATCAATAATTGTTATGATCACCAGTGATATAACCAACCCAGGCTCATTCTGAAAACGTAGTACTGTGGATGTTTCTGGAGACCGCAAAATACGTCCCGGGAGGTACGAGTTTTGCAGTTTTTGTTTTCGCCAATCCCCGAGAGGCCGCTGTGCACACTTTTTCGCATCTCGAACGTCTCTCGCAAGCGGCGTTCGCGGCTGCGCTGTTCTCGCGTAAACCCGCCAGAGTCTGCTGTCGAACAACATTCCCTCTGTCTGAATGACAGAATGATTGACTTTGCAACCGGCCAATCGGCTGACCCACCCTCCTACTTCCATAAACCCAACCAACGACGATTTACAAAAGCCGTCCCGAAAAAGAAAAGCCTTCGTCTGATTTTTACCACGTTTTCTGATTTTGACCACATTCCCACCCTGTTATGAACTTGTTACCTTTAATTTTTGAATTTTGTTTTTGTTTTCTTACCTGATTTCTGGAACCGCTCTTCCCCGGACTCGAACCCGGTCGTCGCGGTCAGCTTCTCTCTACGCCTCGTGTCTGCTGACGTACACGACGAGCTAACTAGACAAACTGGTTGTGGCAGGAAAGCCCTCCACACGGAGGTGAGCGGCCGGCCGGCAAGCCCCGGAAGAAACGGCATCACTCCGCCCCGTAGCATTCGCTTAAAAAAACGAAATACAGCCATACGTACCTCCGGCTACATATTTTGCAGTATCCAGAAGCGTCCATGGGACTACGTTTTCAGAATGGGCCTGGGTTGGATGTAACTCTTGCGGATCGCTGGAGAACAGTTATTCTAACAAACTACATATCCCATCCTACACCGCATTCACACACTAGTTCCAGGTCACCTCTTGATTACACACAAGGGGTCATCATGACTGATTACTTGGACTATTTATACATCACACACAGTACTGACTCTTACGAAGCATTTTCCTGTGTTGTCTTGCCATGTTTTGACCCCTTGTTTGTTTTTTTTGTTTATATTGTTTTACTACCTGCCTCTCCCTCTTCACCTGTGACTACTCTTTTGGATTTCTCTTATGCTACCGTTTGCTCATGTATTACCTTGCCTGCTTGACTACTCTTAAATAAGTCTGTATTTGGATTGTAACCTCTGTCCACAACCCTTTGTTACAACAATCCGTCCCTGTATATGTCAATATGGGAAAAATGAACAAAAATTGTTGACGTCATGCTGACCCACAGCGTCAATTTCACCCAAAAACTGCAGGCAAAATTATGTTGAATTATTTTTGAGGAAAGATGTAGCCCTGGGCACGTATTTCCAATGTGTTTGGATTAAAGAATCTAAAGAATAGCAATGTGTGCCAGCAAAATAATTGATTTCACACGGACTTTAAGTATGCATGTTTCTCATGTGCCTGTTTGATGGCTGATGAACTTAAACTATACACTTTTAAAAAGATGTTGCTACCTTACATGATTGAGTTGAATCAAATTAACTTTACAGGTTATTGTTAACTTCCAGTACATTTAAAATTATTAAAAAATCAGGCTAAATCTCAAATATTTTGTATGACTTTAAAATGTCTTTATGTTTTGTCTTTATTTTTATAAGTTATAAGGAGGCCCACACGGAATCTGTGCGCACAGAAATTTGCTGATTTTTTTGTCCATCATTGAGTCTATTTATTTACGTATGTGAATGCGTGTACATTTATATTTATTGAGTTTTTAAATTAATTTCAGTAATAATGATTTTTGATTTTCTTTTGATGCTCTAGATCTGAGTGAGTGAATATATAGCAAAGCAATAATAAAAGGTATCAATGTTTGATATACTTCTATCCCAAAAATGTTAATACAGAGAAGAACTCCCTTTTTGTTCTATAGAGCCGAGTAAATATATAGCAAAGCAATAATAAAAGTTATCTGATATACTTGAGTCTATCTCAAAAATGTTAATATAGAGAAGAACTCCCTTTTGCTTCTCTAGAGCCGAGTAATTGCTCTCTATGGTGATACACTTGATTAAAAAACATAGCAAAGCACTTCTTCTATTATATTGTTCTATTATATCCCAGGCGTCTTCCAGCTTTTAGTAGTAATAGATGGTTCGAAGTGTCATCTGGGCCATATCTTAATTTATTGTCAGCAGAAAACTAACCCACTTTAAAATTTCTGCCGAAGTGATTTCTGGTGTTCTCAGATTTCTTCTAATTGTTCTAAGAGCTGTTTGAGCAATCATAGCAATATTAGCATATGTTAGTGATGATCTGTGTTTGTCATTAAAACATCCAGACAACACTAAACACATACATAATATACATAAAATACACTTATTATTATAATCATACAGTTGACGTCAGAATTATTAGCCCCCCCTTTTAATTTAAAAAAAAAAAAATTCCCAAATTATGTTTAACAGAGCAAGGAAATTTTCAAAGTATTTCCTATAATAGTTTCTCTTCTTGAGAAACTCGTATTTGTTTTATTTGGCTAGAATAAAAGCAGTTTTAAATAATAAAAAACATTTTAAGGTCAAAATAAGGCCCCTTCAAGCTATATTTTTTTCGATAGTCTACAAAACAAACTATTCTTGTTAGAAATGTGTTGAAAAAATCTCTCTCGTTAAGTGGTTTATTTTTAGACTAATTTCGAGAGGATCACGTGCTTATAATTGCTTGCAGTCAGTCCCGCATTATTCAATTTATGATTCACTAATCAGACGATTCCTAAGCCACTATAAATACCCTAAGTTCCATATCACAGCCATCTTCGTTTTGAAGAATCCCCCCTTCCACCCCTTCTCATCCTCCTATCCTAGATGGGTGGCACGGTGGCCCAGTGGTTAGCACTGTTGCCTCACAGCAAGAACGTCACTGGTTGTAGTCCTTACCAAGCCAGTCGACATTTCTGTGCAAAGTTTACACGTTCTCCCCGAGCTCACGTGGGTTCCCACTGGGTTCCCCGGTTTCCTCCCACCATCCAAAAACATGCAACTTAAGTTAACTGACTAATCCAAATCGGCACTATATGCTCCTAGTAAGTAGTTATATCTTAAGAGCGATTACTATCGGTTCATCAGTTACTACAGCAGGGGAGTTCTCAAGATCTACCTAAGCTCAAACTCCCCTCTCGCCTTGCAAACGGGAATGATCCTATGAACTCAGGGCTTTCTCCCAGGACAGCATGCCAGACAAGCTTTATAATCAATCATCAGCTAAGTGTGAACTCTTGAAACAGAAATTGGGGAAAAAATAAACGGGGTAATAATTCAGGGGGCTAATAATTCTGACTTTAACTGTATGCAATTTTAAAAAGGTACATCTTAACACATTTTTTAAAAACAGGACTGCTGGGGGATTCTTTCACTTCATTTGGTGCCGCCAGATCGCATTAGATTCACAAAAGTCCAGGGGCCTCATGTACGAAGACTTGCGTGGAAATCTTACTAAAACATTGCGTACGCACAAAGCTGTAAATGTGCGTACGCAGAAAAAGATTCAGATGTATGAAACACTACGTACGCCGAATCTCACGCATATTCTTTTGTACATCTGAATGAACGTGAAACTGAGCGCAACATGCACGAGCACAAAACCCCTCCCTGCCTCCTCCCCCGTATGAATATGCTAATGACTATGCTAATGGCAAAACCCAACGAAAAAGCAATGGCAAAATCAAGCAAAAAGAGAAACTTTGAACAGAATGTGAATTGGAGGTGCTGCTTTCGGAGGTAGACCGGAGAAAAGCGGTGTTATTTGCAAGTTTGTTCTCCGGAATTAACAACAAAAGAAAAAAATAGAGTGGTAGAGTTTAGCTGATGCGGTCAACACAGTTGGGTCTGAACATCGCACTGAGTGCATTAAAAAAAAGAGATAGTGTGATTTATATCTGTAAAGTGTTGCAGTACGCTTAACAGTCTCAGTGGCGTAGCTCGTTAGACGCATGTGTTCATGAATTGATACATTCGAGCATGAACCCGGCTCGATTCCAGCGTCTGAACTCTTTCTTGTTTTTTCCCCTGCTACATATCAGATTTTGCCTACTATTTATCACGAGAAAGACAAGTAGGAATCATTAATAAGTTTATATAAGCATCAATAAGCATCATATTTTATTTGCACATTTATTGAATGGAAATGTTTCTGATTCACGCATGCAAATTCATCTTCAGATAGTGTCTTTATAGCAATGTGTGTGCGGTAGATCACTCAGATTATAATGGGAAAACAGGCGACTGCTGCAAATTGTGCTTTAATGTTTAGCTGGTCAACTGTATGGTATGGAAACCTTATATACCTGCTGAACCCGTCTCATACAGCTGCCATTGCATGGCTCAGACACTTTGTAGAGAGCAATTTAACACAACTGCTTCTAGGAGTCGCCAATGGAAATAAAACAGACACACACAAAAAATTGTGCGTACGCCTGCCAGAAAGCTGCCGTGAAGCTGCGCACATTCCCACATTCAGTTCATTGTTAGTAAATCCAAACGTGAGCGATTCTGAGCGTGAAACCTGGCGTACGCAAAGTTTTTGTGCGTACGCAGCGTTGATACATGATGCCCCAGCTCTAGAAGAGTGTGCCAATTGGCTTGGAGTGATGTTGACAATGAAATGTAATATGGTGTCAGTTTATGTCCTTATAAACTAATACAAGTATTTTTAAAATGGCACACTGGTAACCAGTGTAATTCTGTTAACACTGGTCTAATATGTTCCTATTTCTTCAATCTCATTCAAACTCTGGCTGCTGCATTTTGTAACTGATGGAGTTGAGATTGATCTAAAGCAGTGGTACTTTTTTCATCAAGTACCACCTCAGAAAAAAAATCTCTCTCCAAGTACCACCAAAATGACCAGTATTAAAATTCAGTAGTGTAGTAGGCCCAGTAAAGCAGCTACAACTCTGCACAGTTAAAAAAAAACGTGGCAGATTACCTCAGAAATATAGACTACATGTCATATATGGCATATTACATACATCATTTTTGATAAGTTTTGAAATGTATTTAGCATGTACATGACATATTTCATTCCTCCACATACCACTAGAAGGAAGCCCGCGTACCACTAGTGGTACACGTACCACAGTTTGAGAACCACTGATCTAAATGTCTCTGTTGAATAATGAACGGCTTTAACTGTTGCTGATGTTTGGTCCGTGTTTCTCTCTCTCTCTACGCAGGACTCCATCTCTAGCGGTTCTCCTCTCCAGCACAGAGAATCTTCCTTCCGGCAGCGTTTGCTTCCTGAAAGACGCAGCAGCGTTCCAGACACTTTTTCTCTCCTCGGGCCACTTTTTGGCAGCGCTCGGGTCAATCCGTTCGTCTTGGGCTGCCCTCCCTATCCCACCCTCATATCCCACACTCCACATCCATTCAACCTGCACCACACCGCCCAGCCCTCACAGCGATGTCAGTTCTTTCAGAGCCCCTGCGCACCCTCACGCAGCCAACGCGGCCTGTTTCTCTTCAAACAGCTTTCGCACGCACTGCGCAGGAACCATCTGGCCCAGTTCAGACAGCACAGTGAACAGCACACCATCTCCAAACACAAACACTGCGCCATCAGCACGCTAGTGTGAGCTGAACTTTAGACGAGCACACCATGAGCAAAAACCAGCCAATCCCGGGAAGAGCAGGAGCGATGCATGTGCAAAAAAACAGCATCTGTGTTTGATGTCTCTCGTACTTTCAGCATTCTGCCTGTGGGTGAATGTCACACAGTTATAGTAAATCCATTATATTTTGCATAAAGAAAGTCAAGCACTATTAAGATATATTGCGTAGTGGCATTTACATGGCACATTTTTTTTATTGCTGTAATTTATTTTGGAATTTATATTATTGCTATTTATTTTCAACCCTTATTCTGACCCTCGTTGTTTGTGGAAAGGTCTGTTTTAAGGGCATGTACGGTGGCTGAGAATGCTTAACATGCTGCAATAAAGTATATGCAGAGCTAGTGTTTCCTACCATACTGCTAAACTTCCGGTGAACGGTTAATGTGACTTTTATCCAGTTTATACGGTTTCTTTTACAGCATCGATGTTGTAATGTAATTAAAATATAATCAGTTAAATAGACTTTGGAATTTATTTAGTTGCTCAAGCGTAAAACGAGATGAAAAGTCGTTTACATGCACCGGCCAGTCAGGATTAGCAGGCTAGCGCAGAAGCTTCATTAAATATACTGGGGTAAATATACTGCCGGCAGCTTCACGGAAGCTAAGCAGGGCTGCGCCCGGTCAGTACCTGGGCGGGAGTCCACATGGGAAAGCTAGTTTGCTGTCGGAAGTGGTGTTAGTGAGGCCAGCATTCAACCTGTGGTCTGTGTGGGTCCTAACGCCCCAGTATAGCGATGGGAACTCTATACTGCTTAGTGAGCGATGTCTTTCGGATGAGACGATAAGTCCCAACTTTCTGTGGTCGTTAAAAATCCCAAGATGTCCTTCGAAAAAGAGTAGGAGTTTAACCCAAATTTGCCCACTGGCCTCTGTCCATCATGGCATCCTAACCCTCCCCTTCATTACTCTGTTTCTCTCCACCAATCAGCTGCAGTGAAAAAAGTGTTGCATGCAGAACTGTTGCAAACAGTTTGAATTGAATTGAAACAAACATGTTAAATTTGATAATGTTCAACTTCATTTGTTTGTTTAAATTCAGCCCAAATTAATTGTTTACAATCACTTAACGTAAAAGAATTGAGTAAACCAAGGAATCACCTTTGAATACATTTTTTCAGTGTGGTGTGTGGTGTCGGCGCAATATGGCTGCCGTCGCGACATCCAGGTGAATGCTGCACACTAGAGGTGGATGAGGAGATTCCCCTAAAACGTGTGTAAAGCGATTTGAGCGCCCAGAAAAGCGCTATGAAAACGTAAGGAATTATTATTATTAATTACTATTAAAGTAAATGTTCATATTTTAAAGACATGGCGAAGAAAATGTAATTTAATGCTGTGCTCCTTGTACAATCTGAGACCCACTTTATATCGGATATCACTTGGCAGTGGAGATCGCTGACTGGACCTTAACGCGCTGATTTTGGAATGGCATACAGTTCACCGGAAGCACTTGACCCAGGTTACTGGCAAATTAAAAGTCCTTCCGCTTACTTCCGCATATACCCTATTTAAGAAAACACATGCTTTATAAAAAACACAAGCACAATAAAAAAACATCTTTATCCGTTTGACAGCACACGTGCTGCAAATCTTCACAATGCATACACATTTTAAAAAATGCGCTGCGATTTCACACAACGCAAACAATTTACGAAAACTCGCTGCATTTTCTCACAACACAAAAACAGAATGGAACACAGTGCAAAATGTATCAAGGAGACCCAAAATCGTGACGGACGCTGCTTCTCAGTGAAGTTGTAGGTGATCTTCGAAAGGTGAGTTTTTTTATTTTTATATCCCGATTCCCATTACTTAATTATTTATTAGCCTAAATGACCATAACCTAAACAGCTGGGTCCGTCACGTTTTAGGGTCTTCTTAAAACATTTTTGTTGCGTTGTGAGAAAATTCAGCACATTTTTGTAAAATGTTTGCATTGTGAGTGAATGCAGTGTGTTTTTTTCAAATGTTTATGCACTGTGTGGATTGCAATCTTGTGCTGTCAAACTGATGAAGACCTTTTCTTAATTTGCTGTTTTTGTAATTGCACATGTTGCAGCATGTTAAGTTCTCTCGGCCACCGTAGGCGTGGGTTCTTTTAAGGTCCTGTGCATTTAAATGTGCATTTTTATTTACTGTTTGATGTAATCTCAAATGAAAATTGAAGAGAGTGTGGGACATAGAGTAGCCCACCCTTCTAACCCCAGCCTTTTTTTTAAACTGTAAAAAAATTGTTGATCAATTTAGACGGAAGTGACAAACTGCAGCTTTAGATGTTAATATCTGTTTTATATTTTCTAAATGTAAATTTTGTCACTGTTTTGGAGCACATTAGCTTATAGATATGCTTAAAATTAACAGACTGAGGGCCAACATTTAACAAATATTATTTTGCTTTCACGGGACCTTTAAAGCTTGTAGGTAAATGGCCGTTGTATTAAATGGCTGAAGTTAAGTGTTTGGACAACATTATCCATATAAAAGCATCCTTCACAAGTAAAGCATAATGAAATTTGCTATTTTTTTCAGTGCAGCTGCTGTCAGATGCAGCACAGGTATGAGGAAACTGAACGCCAGTGGGCGGAGCCTATGCTCTGCAGGCTATGTATATGCTAGGCATGGGACAACAACCGTTTTCAAGGTATATCGCGGTTTGGAAAAGTCAAGGTTTTAAAACCACTAAAATGTTCTGTATTACCGATCGTAGGATTTTTTATTTACATTTTTTGTTTTGTTTGTTTTTTAGGACAACAGTATGTCCAGCAGAAAAATATCCAAAGGTGCCAATTTAAATTGTAAAGAAATCGGTGTTTTTGAAACTAAACGACTGTCCCAAAATATTACAAATCTTTCAAAAAATAAAATAAATTGTTTTCAAATATTTAAGAAGTGCGTGCTTTGCTTATGTGAGATGCACCTCTCACACATTAAATGATCAAGGCAAATGTATTTTCTCATGTCATGACCCCTTTAACACAATTTAAAGGGACAGTCACCCAAAAATATAAATTTACTCACTATTTATTCACTCTCAAGTGGTTTCAAACTTTTTTGAGTTTCTTTCTTCTGTTGGACACAAAATCCATCAGAAAAACTAATAATATAGATGGCAATGGTTTCAGGTTTCCATTTATTTATTCATTCATTTTTTTGCCACTTTTCCGGGGCCGGGTTGTGGGGGCAGCAGCCTTAGGACAGCACCCCTCCTTTCCCCAGACACTTCCTCCAGCTCCTCCGGGGGAAGTCCCTCCAGCGTGTCCTGGGTCTTCCCCGAGGCCTCCTCCCGGTTGGACATGCCTGGAACATCTCCCTAGGTAGGCGTCCTGGAGGCATTTGAAACAATACTACTCCGAGCTCCTCCCGGGTGACAGAGCTCCTCACCTCATTTATAAGGATGCGCCTTGCCAACCTGCGAGGGAAACTCATTTCAGCAGATTGTGTTGGAGATATTGTCCTTTCGGTTATGACCCAGTTTTTTTCAAAATGTCTTCTTTTGTGTTTAACCAACACAATCTCACGGCAACTCGTAACTTTTTGATTTATTGGCTAATTCGTATAAATTTGTACTATCTAATTCGTACAATTTAGTAAGACTTGCTTATCCCCCAATGACGGTTGGGTTTAGGGGTGGGGTTAGGTGCCACGCCTCCTTTTTAAAATCATACAATTTTGTACGACTAAACTGGCAAAACGTAAAACACTTACGTTTTCTCTTGAGATCAGGCTGGTTTAACAGAATAAAGAAACTCAGGCCGTACTCACACTATGTACAGTTGCCTCGAACCGGGCCAAAGCACGTTTGTCCTCCCTCCCGTCTCTCCCGACAGCCCGCACTCACATTACAATCGTGCCTGGGCGCGCTTACGTCATCGATGCTGCGCTGTGCACAGTGCACCGCTCTCGCTCAGCACAGTGGAGATTTCTCTAGTTATATCATTTCAGTCGTCTGATATGCAGTGACACGCAGTCAAATATTTCGCCTACAGTCCTTAGGGATGCGGTGACACGCAGTCAGATAGTTCGCCGAACAGATCCGCCACTTTTGATGCTCATAAACAATCATAAAGCCCTCGTGCTGCAGGAATTAGGAGGTTTGCTGAAGGTGTAGCTGTCGTATAGTGAGGGGTTTGCGTCTTTAATAAACTACGGCAGTTTGCGTTCATTAAACAGTATGAATAATTAATAAATCAATATAAAAACAATCCCTTAAAACTCACGTCTCACTTTCCGTTTAGGACTTTGGCGCGTTTTGCACTCACACACAAGCGTACCGTGCCAAAGCCCAAGTGAACCGCGCTCAGCCACACCTCTTCCTACCAGGCCTGAGCCCGATTCAGCGCACTCACACTTCTCAAACGATCCGGGAAACGGGCCTGGGCACAGTTCGGATTGCATAGTGTGAGTGTGCCCTCATAAAGGGTTGAAACCACTTGAAAGTGAGTTAATTTTTGGGGGAAGTATACCTTTAATATCTAACAATGGGAAATTTGATCATTTCAAAATAACTAACACCTATTCTTTTCATGCTGCAGAAATTCTAAAAGTTCAAATAATTCTCTCAATTTCTATTTATTTATTTATTTATTCAAGAATTTGAGTCGTGTGCTTTATTCTGCAGTGTGTATTCTTATAGGTGCTTCATTTAACCGTCTGTGAAAACCTCTTTGGTTGCCTTTATGCAAAACATGGTTCCTTTTTTTTCTTATATTAGTTTTGGCCTTCTCGAAGAGGTGTTATCAGGTTGCCTGTGTTTTTGACATTCACTCAGCTTGGCAGAATGACAGAGTAGATGTTCTAACGCTGTATTTGTTGTAGATGACAGATTTATATGTTGTCTTGATCATAAATGAACGTGCCAATGACCGTTGCACCCATCAGCTCTGTGTTTCGTGTGTAGTATAGTTGTACAGTAGTGTAACTCAAACCATTGTAATCAAAAAAGCGATGTTATAGAACACTGTAAAAATGTATTCAGACATTTAAAAAAAATAATACAAATATCTCGGTCAGTTTGAGACAAGGGCTGCGTCCAAAATCACCTACTACTCGAGTAGATACTACATTTGAATTCACTTCACAACCGTTAAGCCCCATTCACACGGGGCTTTACCGTCAACGCTTGACTGAAGGCGTGTCTGAAGTCGGGGCTGAAGCGATCGTCATAGCAGCGTCAGCCAATAAAATTCAGTCAGCAGTAGGCCACTGTCTAGCTGGTGTATTTGCATACAGCGATCTGATTGGCTGACGCTTCCATCGGCGCTTGAAAAGTTGAGCTAGTCTCAACTTCTGGAGCAAGCAACGCCTCTGAAGCGGCGCCAACGGATCCACAATGCAGTTCG